CCACAAATAAATTCAGGTTCCCCAAAATTGGAAAATACTACCTCTTCCTATAACAATCCACCGAAGCATGGTAAGAAGCCAACCAATCCATTCCAAAAATCAAATCAAAATCAAACATCTCTAAAGGCAATAAATCCGCTACCATCTCCCTATCTCCCAACTGTAATACACAACCTCGATATACCTCCTCAATTATAACACAATCCCCAATAGGAGTAGTAATGGATAAGCAATAGCCTAGAGGTTCAATAGGTTTATCAGCATGCAAAGAAAATGATAGAGATACAAAAGAATGTGTAGAACCCGGATCAATAAGTACATGTGCCTCCCTACTGAACACATAAATAATACCTGTTACCACCTCCGGATTAGCCTGAGCATCCCGCTGAGTCAAAGCAAAAACTCTCCCCTGCGAGGTTTGTCTATCTGATTGAACACCTCCTTTATTCTGCTTGCCAAACCTAGTCCAACCTGACCTCCTCCTCGGCTTCCCCCTCGGCCGGCACCTGAAATTTTATTACTACCAACTCCAATACTAGCAGATGAAGCAGTTCGTGTGCAATCTCTAGCCAAATGTCCGGGTTGTTCGCAATTGAAGCAAGCTCGTGTATCTCCCAAATTAGTCATTTTAGGAACTGTGCAATCTTTCACCAAATGACCCTTCTGGCCACAACGAAAACACAAGTCGGTACCAGCATGACAAACACCTGTATGTGCCCGTCCACATTGCTTGCAAACACTTCGAGTAAACTGAGATGATGTCCCACTAGACTGTCCATGACACTGATTAGAAATGCTTTGGGTTGGGGTGGGATGCTCTCTATTTTTTTGATATGCACTAGAGCTCTTGACTGAACCATAACCATGACCACCTCTCTTTGACGGTCTATTAGATGTGTTCTCATGATGGGATGAACTAAGGTGGCGCTTCTTCTGTTGTTCCGCTAACTTCATTTCTATGACATCTTTCTCAACTGTTAAGGCTTTATCAACCAAGGTTGAATAGTTAGTTATTCCCAATACTCGGATACGAGATTTGATGTCCAAATCCAACCCATCTGTAAAACGACGACATTTGACCTCCTCATCATCCACAAACGAAGGGGCAAAACGAGATAAAGAAATGAACTTAGCTTCATATTGAGCTACAGTCAAATCCCCTTGCTCTAGCCGAAGGAACTCTCTTTCTTTTTCATACCGATAGGTAGCTGGAAAGTACTTGTCATTGAAAACCTTAGTGAATTGGTTCCAGGTCAATCCTCCGGTGCCACTTGCCGTAAGTAGGCGTTGCGTGGCCTCCCACCAATATTCAGCCTCCTCCACCAACATAAAACTAGCAAGTGCAACTCGCTACTCGTCTGATACTTCCATCACAGAAAATATATGCTCTACCTTCCTTAACCAGGCCTCTGCCTCTATAGGATTGGGCGATCCAGAAAATGATGGAGCCCCCAACTTCTTGAACCTCTCAATTGCGGTGAGGCGGTTCTCTGTAGGTTGCACAAATGGCCTAGGCTGTGTTGCATTCTGTTGTTCAAGGATGTGAGTCTGCCTCTCCGCTAGGCTAGCCATTGACTCTAAAAGGCGCTGCACACTAGGGTCTAAAAAAGCTGGAGCTGTGTCAGCCCTTGGTGGTACGACTCTATCTGAATGTCCCACTTCTGGATTGGCACTTGACTCTTGAGTTTGCTCATTATGCGATTCATGTTCAATCTCTTCTTCCTGAACCCGAGGTGGAACTTCATTTCCAACACTAAGATGTGGCTCTCGCTCAGCCTCAAGTACTTCCATAAGGGGGCGACTCTTATGAACTCTTCGCCTTGCCATACGCGCCTGTATAACAAGACAATTAAAACTTAGAATACTAGATCGCTATTAAACATCATCACTAATCGAATTACTAACTACAATACCCTATCAACTTTAATTCTAAAGTAACTAGTCTACAGATTCATAACCTAATGCTCTGATACCAAAAATGTAACGACCCAATCTTAGCAAGGCAAAACCCTGCCAAGAGGGTGCACCTCAAACGCTATAGCACCTTTACACCACAATTCCTGTATAATTCTTTGTTAAAACCTATCACCTACTTCACCCACTTAAACCTACTCCACTAAACCTAACCCACTACACCACTACCACCTCACCTACTCCACTAAACCTAACCCACTACACCACTACCACCTCCACTTCACCTACTCCTTACCTACTACACACTCACCCTCTTCTATATATAGGAATCATGAATCATTGTAATAGATATCAATATAAATCAATCAATAATACATCAATTTATTTTTTACATGGTATCAGAGCCAAGTTAAGCTCTTGGTGCTCTTCGCCTTCTGGCGGGTGGGAACTTTTCCTTAACCGCCCGCCAGACCTCAACCAATTGAAACCTCCAACACATACCTTCTCTCCAATCACCGCCAAATAACCACTGCAGCAACTCAAACCACTGCTAGCTCGAATTGACGCCTCATTCATTTTTATTTTTATTTTGTATAAATTTAAGTCCAATTAAGCTCTTATGTTTAGTATCTTTATTTTGAACCCTATTGGTAGGAGCAAGTTTTATAACTCCATGGTATTGGTATACTCACTGGGCTTTAGCTCATATCTTTTAAATAAATTTTTTTTTCAGATTCATAGAACTTTTTGTTGGCTCGCCTCAACTTGGAAGGACTAGAATTTTTTGAAGGATCACAGGGTGGGCATCTTGTGGTTGAGGTTTTGCTTAGGGTCATTCTAGGATTTACCTTTTTTTATGAAGGAGGTTGATTGTAAAAATGCTTATGAAAGTTGGATGTATTGATGGATTCGTGATTAGTATGTATTATATTTTTTTTTTTTTTGAGGAAATGCTTGGGAACTATCTTGTAGCATGATAATACTTTTTTTTGTCTTTTGAATAGATCATCTTATATATGTTAGGCAATTGAAAGGTCTTTAGCACTTTTGGTGATGTGGTGATGTGATGTATGATTGATTTATATTGATATCTATTACAATGATTCATATTCCTATATATTTAGAAGAGGGTGAGTTGTGAGAGGTAAGGAGTAGGTGAAGTGGAGGTTTGGTAGTGGTTGTAGTGGGTTAGGTTTTAGTAGAGTAGGTGAGGGTGGTAGTGGTGTAGTGGGTTAGGTTTTATGGAGTAGGTTTAAGTGGGTGAAGTAGGTGATAGGTTTTAACAGCCCCCGCAAACTCAAGGGGGATAGGAACTAACCAACTTGAGTTTGGAGAGAGTTACAAAACAAGAAAAATACATAAAAATAAAAGAGGATAGGTGACACTGTATGGTCGTGTCAGAACCATTGGTTGAAGACACTGGATGGTGGTGTTCATAACGTTGTAGAGGACACGGGTTTGTGGGTGTCATAACGTTGTAGAGGACACTGTATGGGGTGTCATAACGTGTAGAGGACACGTATTGGTGGTGTCAGACCGATTAGAAGACAGTTTATGGGGTCATGTCGGACCGTGTAGCAGACAATGTTTGTGACAGTTGTTGTGACAGTTTACGGGTCTTGCTGGACCCTTGTAGAACTAACCGGAAGCAATTGTCGGGACAGTTTACTGAGTCTTGTCGGACCCCTAGAAGAGCTAACCGGAGATCAAATGTCGGGACAGTTTACAAGAGTCTTGTCGGACCCATAAAGGAGCTAAACGGAATCAATTGTCGGACAGTTTTACAGAAGTCTTGTCGGACCTTAAAAAGTCGCACCCTCAAAAGGTTGTGCCGAATCTTTCAAAAGGCGTGCATCAAAGGCGTGCACAATCCATAAAAGGCGTGCCCGACAGAAAGCGTCGAGCCATCAAAAGAGGCGCCTGACACGCGGCGATGCACGTGATTGACAGAGCGCGTGTCGGCCGTCGTCGTCTCTGTCTTTATATTAAACCAAAAGCGAAGTCTGAGGCTTGGAAGCATAACAAACAGTTGAAACTCTGTTCTCTGTAACATTCTGTAACAACCCTTCTCTGAAACACTCAGACCACAAAACATGGCTTCTTCTTTCCCGTTCAGCTACCCAGAAACATAGCCTCATCTTCCCGTGGTGCTGCTCACTCTCTTCCCGACCTCAACGAGTCAACAAGAGGAGATAAACTGGTGCGGTGGCCTGTGAAAACTCTCAAACCCAAACACCCACTCTGGTTTTGCTCCGCTTGAACTTTCGATGCGGTCGGTGGAGCAAAAAAATGGCAGTGCAACGGATTATCTGAAGTCAATCATATACACTTGAAGTCATGTGTGGAAACCATGAAACTGCGGTCACAAACTTGTCGCCCCGGCTGGACGAGTAGGACAAATGAGTGCAGCAGTTAAACGCCCCAACTGAACTCTGCTCCAACGCATGTATAAGGATGCGCGAGCAGAGGATAATTTGCTAAAGGCGGAAAATAAGGAGCTGAAACGGAAGGCCCACCGTTAGTTCGATTTGGAGGTCCGCCATATGCTGCAGTGGGGAGCAGGGAGTAGTGATCATGCCCAGTGGAGTGGGAAACACGGAGGCAAGCACCATCAAGGGCGCCCAGGACGGAGGCAAGAAGAAAAGAACCGGCGGAATAGGCGAAGAAGTGAGGTCGGTGGGAGGCCGTCTGCAGAAAAGAAAACAAAATCTTTTGTGTTGTGTTTTGTTTGTTGTGTTTGTTTTTTTTTTTTTTTTGTTGTAAAATTTTGATTGGGGTTGATCCCTGAGATGAATAATTATGTTTGTGTGTGCAAAGCTATATGGTATGAATGGAATGTGAAAAAGATTAAAAATAATGTGAAGAAAAAAATAAAGAAAGGAATAATAAAAATATATTTGAAATCAAAATGAAAGATGGGGAAATAAGGAAAGTAGTTTGGAGAAAATAAATAAAATAATGGATTTTGAAATCAAACGGATGGAAGAGAGAGGGACAATTTTGCTAAGCGAGTGGTTTGACCCCATTTGTTTGGCTGCCATCATTTCACCATTGGCAGTAAGCCCATTACCAGACTGACCAACTGGATGTGAGAAACAGAGATAGGGCTGGAAAAGGCCAGAGTTAGGTGGAGTATTATTAGTGGGCTGATTGCCAAGAAACACCATTCCCCCAGTCTGCTTGGAGGTAGGGACCTGAACCTTGAGTTCTTGGTTGTGCGCTTGTTAGAAAGCCCATTTCCAGCCAAGAACGTGAATAGCCTGAGCCTTCTCAGGAGAGATATCATTATACACGTTCACTGTTCCCGCATAGAAGATGGTCAATGAGGAGGAGCCCGTTGAAAATGCTGAGTCTTTACATCCTTCAACAGCCTCTTCCTTCACAAACACTACAGAATCCTTAGAATTCAAACCCAGAAATCTCTCTCTCTCTTTTTGCTGCAGTTAGAAGCATCTCGCAGATGAGAGTTTTGCATTCTCTCTCTACTTTCTTCTCTCTAGCTACTAGTCTGCCAAAACGGTTTGTGGGGGATGAGAATTTGGCTTTAGGGTTTGGTGGTTGCAGTAGCAGAGAGCTGCTACTTCTGTTTTTGATCTGCAGAATTTGTGCTTGGACTCGAAGCATGCAACCATGCGATTGGGATGGTCGGCGACGGTGTGCCCGGAGTTGCAGCAGCGGGCAGTGAGCAAACAAACGAAGCTTTGGTTGACGAAGATGCAATCTGTATTTGCAGTAGGCCGAAATGAAACACTGGTTGCGAGAAGAGTTTTTTGCGTCAATTCGCATCAGCTAGCAGTGGTTTGAGTTGCTGCAGAGTGGTTAATTGGCAGGTGATTGGA